GCCCTGAGCCTGGAGCTGGATGCTCTTTCTGCAGCCTAATGTGCCTGTCAAAAGGGGTTACTGTCACAAGCACCCACCCCCAACACCCCTTGTTTTCTCCTCCATCGCAACATGCTTCAGATAAACATTGCTGTAACACATAGTTCCAGTTTGAAAAAGAAATAAGTTAAGTATGCCAATGTTTCTTTCACTCTTGGCATCGCGTAGCTTACGACCTGGCAACTTCTCTGCTATACCTGTAAGTAGGGCTGCGCAATTAATCAGTTTCAAATCAAAATCAAGATTCAGTCTAATTGTCAATGATATTCTTGGGTCTTTTTAACGCAGAGGTCTAAAGCCAGTCTTCTCAGTAATAACATTGGCATTGGTTGGGGTTCAAGCTTTGGAGGAAGAAATGTGCTTATTTCTGGTGTTACGGGAAAAGTCTGTAGTGTTTATGTTTATGGAATTATTACTGAAATCAATTTTATAAAACTGAATCAAAAATGTGACTGATCAATATGAAAAAAGAAAAACACTGTGATACACTTTGCCCTACATGTGAACTATGATATAAAAATATATGCTACAACTCAGTACTTCATTAGTAGGGATCATTGTTGAATTGAGCTTAACAATTAATATGCATAGTATGAAAATAGACATAAGTTGTAATTGATAATGAACTAGAAATGGAAGAAATTGTCACATCTCTCATGAGCTGTTACCATCTGACATGTAGATGCACTCTGAACAGTCGTGACCTTGCCTTTAACCATAAGTGGCCCTAATGTTATAAACCCGAGCCATCAACCTATAAACAACATTTAACACTACGGTGGAGTAAGTGTCTAAATACAGCGTGAATAAAAGCGAGTACTTAGAACTAGAAAAATAAATGTGCAAGATAATGATTTGTGGTGGGTTGACGACAGCAGACACAAACTAAACAGACCCAAATGTCAGATAGAGTTACAGGACTTGCTTGGGGCCTTTCTGAAGGACCTTTTTGCAAGGTCATGGTCAACACACTCAAAATACTGCTGTTTCGAGTAAACACTGGTACAGTTTGTCTTGTGATATTATTTGTCTTACGCAGCAGTGGGCGATAAGGTAATGTATTTTGGTGATTCTTCCAATTTCGGATTATCCTGCATAATTTTCTCAAAACTTTCATATAGTACATTGTTGTAAATGTTTTTCGATTATGTTTATTATTGACCAAATGTGAATGAAAGGTCTTTTTTTTTGTCATTTTTAACCATATTAGGAAGTTTAGCAAACACTGCATGTCTATTTAGATTACCTATTTTGATTGTACTTAATATTCTCTTATTCAAAACCACTATTTTAATATTATCCTGACACTTTCCAGTTTTACATAGTGATACCAACTTCCTGCCACTAGATGTTTTCACGTCAGTTAATAAATAACCAGACATTTGCTGTAATATGACCAACAAAAACCTATAAAAACTCCAACAATCTCACTGTACAGGCCAGTGTGGAAAAATAAGTTACTGAGTGAGTGTGTGTTCAGATAGCCGTTAAGTCAGTCTTTTGTAGGCAGTCCACAATCTCTTTCTAATCCCTATCCCCTGACCCCACCCGCACTGCTTTCTCCGGCCAAAAAGTCACACTGCTTCACACTCACGCAGGTTCGAGTCCAGCTTAAGAAGTGACCCGGAGCGTAACTAAAAAAGTCTGAGCTGTCCCAAGACTCTTAGTAAGTGGGGCACACAAAACATCATTACTCTGATGTTGGATAATTACAGTGCAAAAGGGTGGCCTCTTAAGCATGTAATACACTCTTTTATCTCAAGAAGTCAATCTCTCGAAAGCTGACAGGCTCGTAGCATATGATCCCGGTAAACAAATACTTTCGCAAGTACCATTAAAGGCCAAAACTGTCAACACAAATTCCATTTTTACAAGTGGGAGGGGGAGGGAACCATAGACAGTGGGAGGGATGAAGAGAGGAAGAAAAAGGAGGACGGACTTGATCACTTCTGGTGGCTCTAACTTGCATGGAGGTTGTCATGGAAACATTTCTATGTAGTTAACAGGGATCAAACCTGAACATTTGCCATTTAATTGCGTTAAAGCTTGGCAACCGGGCAAAGTTAGCTTCATAAGAATACATAGCGCGTGCGGGCGAGTCTTATATGTGAAACATTTCAAAAAGTGAAGCTGATTCACCATTGCCTTGGTTTCTCCTTTGCCATTTTCTCCTCAAACGCAGCAACACCTCCAGGCTTGAGCGAGCAGTCCGTTTCATTACAGAGGTGTTGGGGGATGGGTCACGGTGCCATTCGAAAGCTAATCCAAAAGTGAGCAAGTGTTTCATTGCTTGAGAAGTAGTCGACATCTTCTATATTATCCATAGAAATGTATGTTTCATTTCTGTTCCACATTTTACTCCAACCACCATTGACAGGATTCTCAAACTTCTCACACCTGAAGGCATTACAACAGTGGGACTCAACAGGGACTAAACCAAGTGTAAACCAGTATCAAAACTACAACTACATTTAAAGAAGTTTTAATCTGAGTTAGGATGTAGCTGTCAACACTTGCACCCAGAGGAGGAATAAAATAGACCCTACATCTAGATTTGATAACTAGACATATTTTAATGTAGTTTTGACGCAATAAGTTTAAAGTTATATTCAAAACAATACATGCCTTAGTGATTTACATGTCAAACTGTGTCAACATAAACTTGTTGTAGACTAAACCAAGATCCAAACAAGGCAAAAGCATTAGAAGAGAATAAAACTTCTTGTCAGATGAAATTGTTTGTGTTAAGTTCTTGGGCTCTTCTTAAAGACAAAACTGAGGTGTATTTACCTTGTTGACATGTTTCGGCTGCTAGCTGCAAGACATCTTCAGACCTGACTTTAAAAATAACCCAAGAAGTTATATACAAAAAAGACAAAATTAATGTTTTTAGATTGAAATTCTTTGTATTGCTGCAATCCTTTTTTTTTTTTTTTTAGTTACTGTGTTAGCCAATACTGTAATATGACTAATTTTGCGATATAAAGAACAGCCCTACATTTTGTAACTGCAAATGAACCTACATCATGCTCACACACCCCAGTCTGAGACACTTTGCTTTGGGTGTTAAATAGATCTGCCCCATACATTAAGTACAGAAAGTTCTTGTATAGCAACTACCTCATCTTTGCAGGAAGCTCAACTATTTCCATATCTGAGATAAAATCATGCGTCAACCATTGCTCATTGAGCTGAAAGCTGAATCTTAATTTTGATAAATGATTGAAACATATGACAAGGTATACACATTAATCCTGTGGAGGACATTCATTTTCCAATTACCATAATGTAGAGCACGACCGCCCGATGATAAATGCAGCAATCAAAAAATGGATGCAGTGTGGGTAGACTCGGTGTAATAAGTGCCCTGCTCCCAACTGCATGGTCAGTGTTAAGGGAGACTATTTTGTATTATATTTCTACCATTGTTCGAGACAAAACTAGAGATCCCACTTGCCTAACAACCAAACACATAAACACGAGAGTGGGAACAGTTATAACACGCTATATACTCAGTGTTGAGGGAGACGATTTTATATTATATTTCTACCATTGTTTGCAAAAAAGCTAGAGAACCCACTTGCCTAAGAGTGGGAACAGTTCAAACATGCTGTATGGTCAGTTTTAAGGGAGACTATTTTGTATTATATTTCTACTATTGTTTGCGAAAAAACTAGAGCACCAACTTGCCTAACAACCAAACACATAAACAGGACAGCGGGAACAGTTATAACATGCTTTAAGAAATAATTACAGGGGCAGTGGAACAAAGGGGCGTCTTGTGCACTGTCGCTGACATATTTCACAGAGGGCAGTTATTGGCGCCTGGTCTTTGAAGAGTGAGAGGTGCTGAGTGAGGGGGGAACTGGCCCACACCTGCATAACCAAGGAGGGAACACCTGTGCACCCTGCGGCTCAAACAAGGAGACTCCAATACCCCCCCCCAATCCACACAGGACAGGCCCGCGGAGTCCACCACCTCCTTAGCCTTTCCTAACCACACCAAAAATGTCACATGTATTGATTTTTAGGACCAACCACACTGCTACCTTAAAAGAATATGTGCATGAGGACACACACAGGGAGAGTGAAAGGCGAAATCAAGCCAGTGCTTAGAAGATTTAAATTTGGCTTTGTTGCTATTAATATCAGATTTGTCATGTTGAAAAATGACATGCCACCAGCAACACTGTTTCTGGGCAGCGAAAAATGGATTTTAAAAATGGAAAGGAAGCATGCACGGTAAGGTGTTGACTGCTACACTTCTGGTTACTCTAGAATTAGTGCAATAAATCATTTTTATTTTGTACACTAGAAATGTAGTTGATCTTTTAACTAAGCAGGCAATAATCTAAATGTAATAATATATTTTTTAAAGTATTAGATACATAAGTTTTGTCAGGAGTGTTATAACCTATTTTATTACATGTTTACTTTCTATACGCGACAAAAATATATAGCTAATAAAAGAAATTGAAATTGTAAATTACGACTTTTCACATCTAAACAAAGTTCTATTTAAAGAAACGCAAATAATTTCTTGGCTACATTTTTTTACTACAAACATTTTTTTTTTAGAATAATGCATCGTTTTGCGAGTGGTTAAAAATGTAAAAGAATAAAAGACTCCGTTAGCTTTGCACAGCGAATGTAACTTGAAAGAGATAAAACAATGTGCACACGCGTAACAGACTCGGCTGCTGCCAAAGTCTGCGTAGAGCCAGAAGTCTTGACAGAGCAGCCGGGAGGTCCTGACCAAACAGCACACACGAGGTGAAACATTTACCCGCTGCAAGATCGCTCCATATTTGACCGAAAGGTAAACTACATTGTTGGGAGATTAGCCGTAAAACGCAGGGCAAAGTTGTGGCTACTTCTCAATAGGAGCGCACTGGACTGAAGGGGAAAGTCAAAGCGTGCGTAGGAGAGTAATAAGCACTTGTCCAGAAAAAAAAACTTACCACAACAAATGGCAGGTATATCTCCCTCTCGGAAAAGTCAAAAGGACACGCAGGTGAGAAGTCGCCGTCCCGTAGTCTGCTACACTTGCGGAGTTCTTCACACGTGACTGTCCAAGTTCACCATAACGCTGAGAAAACGAACAACAAGCTGCAGAGTAAATAAAAAGCTCAAATTCCTCCGCTGGGCACCGCTGTCTCTCCTGCTGTCTCCCGTCCACGCCGCTGTTATTACTAATGCAACAGAGGAGAAAGCCGTACACTGCGCTCTGTTTGAATGACGCGCAATGCGAGCAAGAAGAAGCGCCTCTTGTTTTTTTCGTTACGATTCAAACACACATCAAGCTGCAGCGCAGAAAGCAAGTCTATTTGGGACTAGAACCCCCCCGGGGAAGGCACTTGCTTGTGCGCGGAGGTGTTATTATTTTTGGGCGTACTGCGACCCCATGTGACGTCAAGCCACCTGCTTTGGTAAACAAGATGAACATTTTCAAAGTTTGTTTTTTGTTTTACAAAGACTTTGTGGTCTTGTACTTGTACCTGTTACGACTTTTTGTCCGCGGGTTCACAAAGTCGAAGGGGGTTTTAGTTTCTCTAATAGCCATATTAGGTTTTTGTGGAGTGATTCTGGAAAGCTTCTGACAACAGACCTTTTAACAAAATAAGCAGTTATGAGAAAAAGTCACGACAACAACTAACGCGTGTAGTGTTAAGATACGCACAGCCACACGGTTAAAAAGATACATAGCGGTGAGATCGATGTCTTTAGACGATTTCTCTTTCTTCAAATACAAATATGAATTCCGCAAACTGATGCGTAAACGCGCATTTAGGAAGACCTACACAAATGGTCAGCTACGCACAGAGGAGAAACCAGTAGCATATTATGGTGTTATTTTAAATCTTTGAAATAAAATACAACTGAGGTAAAAGCATGTAGAACAAAAGATAAGATTGCCTCCCTGCTTTTTGTGGTATACGATTAACATGAATAGTGCTCAATGCACGCGAGAACAGCCAAATGTAAATATGATATTGATAATCAAAATATGTTGTGAACTAGAGAAAAGAAATGCATTAAAACAGCCTATATTAAACCTGCCTTTATTCAACCTCGTAAAAATATCTTAACTTTTTGTTTATAGTTATTATTTCTTTTGTTTGGATTTATTTTTATTGTATTTGTGTATATTGTATATTCTACTGTTATTGAAATATAGACAACTGTCGAACTGTACACAATTTTCTCTACACTTCGTTGTTCTCCTAAACGTGTCAAAATATTATGATGTTTTAACACAAATCGAGAAGAACACAGTGACACAATTACACTTTGTTTATTATTAATAAATGAATGATAAAAAAGATGATACACTTGTCAATATGAAATAAAGATAGGCTCTCCATTAATCAAAACCTTTAACTAAATGTTAATAATTCTTCATAAATAACAGTTGCTGTTGATGTCGTGCCTAATTAACCTTTTATGAATTCGGAAAAAATATATATATTTCAGAATTTATGTGTAAATAAGATTTCTCATCTTTTTGAATTGTCCACAATATTACAGCACTGTCAGTTATATCATACAAATTCTAATAGTCAGTTTATATTCTTACTTATTATTCTATTTATTAAACAAAAATATTAGAATAATTAAAATTCGTGTATGATATACATTCTAATAATACATATCGTATCATTTTATGCACATAAACTACGTACTGGTGTTCAAAAAGGGCACACGTAAACCATTCAAATACTTTCTATTTTTCTACTATTAATACAATTTATTTCTGATTTCTAAAGCTGATAGAAAAATACATATTTTCTATAAAGAAGGGCGATTGTGTTTTTGGTGATAAAGGGAATGCAAAAGAGAATGCTAAAGATGTGAGACTTGTGATAATTTGCTGCCACCTGCTGGTCATGTTAAGCATTGCAACGCAGAGAGAATTTGCAGAGGTTTTATTTCACTCTGTTTGGTCAATTAATCCTTGTTTGTTTTTGTTTGTTTTTAACCATGCTCGTGAATACAGGTTAGAAAAATGTTTCAACCAGAAGTGGTTCTCATCACCAAACACCAAATTATGAAAAAGGTTTGTTAAAGGGAATTACACAGGATTAGAGAATAGTACAGTACAGTACAGAACATTCCAGTACATTATATGAAAATATCTAACTCAAAGCAAACTGATAACACTGCTGTTAAAAAACATACAATCTCATATATTTCCCTGTAATTTGAAATTAAATACATTTAAAAAATAAATAAACGTCTTTGTGTGTATTAGATCTGCTTAGAAACTTGAGAAAACTCAGATTGTGTAAGTGCCCTTTACTTTCGTTGATAAACGTAACTAGTAAACATTAAGTTATATAATAGCTGTCTAGTCTTAGTCATGTATATTGGCTCTATTATTAGGCCTGGCTTAGAGTCACAATGTTCAGCTGTAACCAAACTCCATCTGTCAAGTCACGTCCTCCGCGTGGTCTGCCTTCTACAGTGTCTCTACAGCTGGGACAGGTCCACTCCACTCTTCAAGCCAGACAGAGTGCACCAAAACCGGGCAGTGGCGTCTCCATAACCCCTGGGACATCATGGAGGCTCTGTGCATCCAACCTGGGGAAATCAACGGCTTGAACATGGAGGAAACTGAGCCAGCAAAAAGTTTACAAGGACAACAAAGTAACAGCTCCACAGATGACGATGATGAAGAACCCCAACCTCCTCCAATCATACGCAGAAAAGTGTCATTCGCAGATGCATTTGGGCTCAATTTGGTTTCGGTGAAGGAGTTTGAAAAAGTTGAAACTACAGATTCGGTAAGAAGTGTGCCATCTGATATGGAGGAGGTCATTTCCACTGAGGATTTCTACATGTTCTGTCTGTTTACTGTCCCACCAAACCCTGATGAACTGGAGAGGAAGGTCCAGGAGCAAATGGTTGAGCTGGAGAGCATCGAGCTTCTCCCCAAAACTACGACTCTGCGTGGCATTGTCCGAGTGCTAAACATTTGTTACAACAAGCTGGTATATGTTAGAATAAGTTTAGATAAATGGAAGAGCCACTTTGACTTACAGGCTGAGTATGTCCCTGGATCCAGCGATTGGAAAACTGATAGATTCACTTTCCAGTACACTCTCATACCTCCTTTTGACAAAGAGGGGACAAGAGTGGAGTTCTGCCTGCGCTATGAGACTTCAGAAGGGGTTTTCTGGGCCAATAACAACCAAATGAACTATGTGCTGTTTTTCCACCAGAGGGTAAAAGAAAATGGGCCCCAGATTCAAGATGATAACGGCAACAAGAGCAAGAAAAGCTGCCTCAAAGGGAACAGGTAAGCATGTGTTAAACAGATACAAAATATAAGTTGCAAGTTAAAGATGTAACTTTTCTGGTAGTGTCCACCTCCTTCTTGTATCCATGAGGAAGTTATAGCTATGTCAGATCTGTGGAGTTTTTCGAGCTATTTCTTTAGCACCTGTAATGAGAACAAGATAGATAATTTAATGCTATTAAGATTACAGACAAAAGCAAATCTACAAAGGCAAGTAGGAGCTATCTGGGGTGCCACACATGCACTTCATTTACATCCCTTTTAATGCTGTTACAGTTTTTACGACTGAAGAAAATCCATTGTCCATGTAAGGTCAGGTGCCTGTCCAGGTTTCCATGACGTTGGGCCCAGTGTGGACAGATCAGCTTACTTAATCCTCTCAGGCATGCATCAACAATGTCTTCTGTTGTGCTTTACTTTCACCCCTAGGAAGGAGAGTGCAGAGGAGGTGATCAAAGAGATGCTAAATGCGGCGACTTATGCTACAGGTCTGTACTGCATGCTATTCACATGTTTGGATTTGGGTCAGGGGCCAAAATCTGCAAGTCAGCATTCACCAAATACATTGTAAAGTGCTGAATCATATATTTCAGAGTGCACGAGCAAAACCGAAGTATTTGACCAAGCCCATAGAACAGGGATGAAGTCAGCGCTGCATCTTGAGGAAAACAAAAATACTGTGAGTTGTACAAACTAACAAGTTGATCTGGAAAGCATGCAAACTGTACTGTACATTGCAGGTTTAAACATGTCACAGCTGCACATGTATGCCTTGTACTTGGTGGGTTCCAAAAATATGCAAAGCCAGCTAACATGACTCTTAAGAACATGTTTAAATTACCTCACATGTAGTGCTATTCTTATGCAAGCAATAAATATGCATTGAGTTGAATTGTGTATTTTAAAAAAAACATATTATCATTAAGGGTTTTTAGTAAAAAATTACAACATATATAGATCCTTAATATACATTCCAGACCGTAATATTAATATAACAGGGTGTAATTATAGAACTGTATCCATTACTTCCTGTTTAAAAGTGTAGGCACATACCTCCTTGATTCAGAGTCTGACTTTATTTGAATAATCACAAGTAAATAAAGAAAAGTGGGGATAGGGGGTAGGTGAAAACAGGAATTTTCTCTGCACATGATGCAGGATAATGCAGAATTACTCAAACATGTATAAATCTATGAAAATACAACTTTGAGTAAGCTACTGATGAGTGAACACATGGTAAAAGGCTCATGAAAGCCCTTTTTACATAATATGTCCCATTTAGGATATTTGCTCAAATTTGATCCCTTTGTTGGCTTTTGGTTGCAAGCAGCTGACAAAACAACCGGTAGTGCTAGTACGATCACTATAGACTCAACTGTTCAAGCATAAACATTTGGTCTGACCTTTGACCTTTCTTGACAGGTGGAGAGCATAAAAAGCCGGCACAGAGCTGCACGTTCAGCACGTGCTTTGGACCACTGTCCCCAGAGGAGGCCGCACGTACCACCATCGGGCTATTCACATGACTTACCCCAGCGCCAAAAGGGCTCGCAGCCAATTTCATCTGCGCACTGTAACTCGAGCAGCCCTCTCCATCCCAGCAATAAAGCCCAAACTAACAGTGCACAGGTCCTCACATATCATCAGATTCCTTTGGCAACACTGGACTGGAGCTGTGACAAACCGCCGCAGAGTGGGAATGACGGTGCGGACAAGACGTGGACAGAAAAAGCTAAAATTACCTTGTCAAAACCGCAAGAGGAGAGTGTGAATGATACACCTG